ATTCCTGTGGTCCCCTGTGGCCCCCTCTGATCCCTTCACCCATACCCTACTGCGCCTTCCCAGCAAATTCTTCGAAGCTTACACCCTCCTCCTGCGATGTGCAAAGGGGGGCAGTTTTACACACAGGAATCCAAAAATACTAAAACGTATGAGAAGAACAAATGAATATAGTGACAATAATAATCATGATGATGAGAATCATAATGATAACAATACTGATAATGATAATAACAATGATAATTAAAAAATGATAATGATAAGAATGATAATGATAATAAGAATAATGATGATGATACTAGTATTAATAAGATGATGATGGTAGTATTAATAAGAAAAATAATCATCATAACAATAAAAATGATAATAATAGTAATATTATAATAATAATAATAAAACATAATAATATATATATACACCCAAAGCAAATGGCCCTTCAAAATTGCTCCACTTTCTCAACCCAACAAATTTGTGCCTCCGGTAGTCAAACATGGCTGTCTGGAAAAACCTGATTTAGTTCGATGATTTTCCCAGCGAACCAAACCTCTATGGCTAGGCCACAGGGGTTTCCCAGCCACGTTTGATGACGCCATAGGCTATGTCCATATTATATTCCATTATTATCCCATGATTTTCCCATTATTAACCCATTCAACTGTCCATTCTTATCCCTGCCAAACCATCCGAAACATACGGCTCGACTCGCTCAACTCCTGCCATGCAGCAGGTGGTTTGGAGGCCCAAGCCACTAGCCTCCGCTCGGGGGCATCGTTGCCCACCAGGCCGGCCTGCCCGAAAAGGCTCAACGGTGGATCAACGGTGGATCAACGGTGGATCAACGGTGGATCAACCCATGAAGAAACCTCCATCTTAGTTCATTGGGGATCAGTGTCCCAGGTGGCCTTAGTCTTAAATAATATATATATATACAGTATACCATCTGGTTATTTAACATAGGCATGGAAAATCACCATTTTTAATAGGTAAACCATCTATAAATGGGCCATTTTCCATGGCTATGTTAAATAACCAGAGGGTAATACTTCTGAAAAAAATAATGCAGAAGTGTTGGAGAAGTTGGGAGTCAAGTTCAGGAATATTGACAAAGATGGGAGGGAAACTGATACATGTTTGTTGGTTAAATCACCAGAAGGAATCTCGCTTTGATCAAGCTGTGAAACGGCGTGGCTAGTACACACTCTGAGGATTTCTTACATGCCCACTTTCCAGTATCCATGGAAACGACTGGATTTGCTCATTTCAAAATCTACAGTAAACAATCCAAATTTCTGTGAAAGTCGATCATTCGTTTGCAGGATTTGCTGATCAAAAGTTGATTGTTCTCAGCTAGCCCTGTTTCACTACCTAAGCCTAGCCAGTCAAGTCCCCATTTGCTGACTCTGCGAACCACCGCATTTTTCAAAGTTGAACCCTCATTGACGCTCCGTATATTATCATACATATATTTGTACATATATCCACATCCATATCTATACTATATCTACATATCCATCTACACACCCATGTCCATATCCATATCCATATCCATATCCATATCCATATCCATACATATATATATATATACATATGTATGTGGTGAATATCTCCAAAACAGCTGCTGTTCTGTTTAGATGTGTCACCACTGTCACCGGCGCCTCGAGCACGGCACGTTGAACCTCAATGCCGTGTAAGACGTCCTGAGACCGGGAATCGACCTGACCAAGAATAGGGGGATTGAACCACAATTCACCAGATTATATAGTGGTTAGATGTGGTTAAATCCCCAAAAAAATGATGATTCCAAAGATCTTAATGATGATGATATAGATCTTAATGGATTAATCAACCACAATGCACCACAATTAACCACAATTCACCACAATTCACCACAATTCACCACAATTAACTACTCAAAGATCAAAACATGAGGATTACATAGGACCAGAAATGATTCACTGGGGATTGAACCAGTTGAACTCATTGAACCATCAAAAATGACCAATTTTTTGGGAATTTGATGGACGAAAGTTGTGGCTTTCACCAGCCACAATCATGGGATTTAAGTGATTTCACCATCAAGATTGTGGGTTGGGGTGAGGATGGGAGGATTTTCTAAATGTAATCCGGATTCATCCAGCAAAATGGGGATGCAAAAAAATCAAACAGAGGGAATCTTCCAATGAAGGAGGCTACTTGTCCATTGGATTGTTTGACCACTTGTATGTATACCATCATAAACCATAGTGATGGGAATTTCATCAAATTTTATCCTTCAAAATTGGGATGTTGATAACAAACAAGACTGGGGTAACAAGATCAGATCCAAAACTGGGATTCCTCTAAAGACAATGCTTCTTCATGGGTCAATGGTGGAATGTTCTGGAAGAGTCCACCCTGATGAAAATGTCACAATGGATTGGTTTTTAGCTAGAATCTACAGAAAACCCTCGTTTTTATCCCTAAGTATCCGGTGTGCCGTTCCCAAATTTACCAAAACATCCCCCTCTTCATAGAAGATTTTGTTCACGAATGGGATACCAATAAGCCACAAAAGTTGGTCGAAATTTGACCTATTCGGTTGTCACATTCCCATCGTGATCGGTTTATCATGCATGGAAAACATTTATATTCAACAAAAGTAATATATTGATTTTTATTCAACATTACTATGGAAAACAGTATTATCATTCATCTTCAACAAAAAAAACAATAGTAATACAAACAATATACCGATAAATCCGATAATACTGTTGAACATCGGTACCACAATGGGCGGCCAGACCTCCTTCGTGTGAGCATTCAAACTGAAGACTCTCTGAAGCACATCACGGTCGTGGGGCGACAACGCCTCGCACAAAGGGGGCCAAGGTAGACTAGTAGATCTAGAGATTGACCTTTCTTTGAAAAATGATAGTTATACAACATATACTAATTTTACAGTGTATTATATATGTATTGTACATTATATCTATCATTTATGTATAACATGTATGAGTGCAATGTTTGTACTTGTTACAGTATGTATATTTTAGGCCCTGTTACGCCTTTACTAAACGACTGAAATGTTCCCAAGCATTGACTTTGTGATCCACTCGATATTCCAACAAATTCAGTAGAATATGCCCATCCATTGGGCGGGCTTAAGGCATCCCTGTGAAATCCCAACGTTTCATGCGTAATTTGTGCGCCATGGAATATGGCAAATGCCCGTATACTCCATATATCTATATATTCCCATGATATATCTCCATGAAAAGCACTAATTATTGAAATCCATGTGTTTCATTTATATAAAATATGGAATTAAGAATGGTTACTACATGTTACTCCCATGAAAAAAAACTATTTATATATATATATATACAGTTAGACAGACAGACAGATAGACAGATAGACAGACAGATAGACAGACAGACAGACAGATAGATAATATGGATATCGATATTCCTCCAAGATCTCCATGAAGCTGAACTCCACCCCATCCCATGTCTTTTTGGGGCCTGCGTCACCTTCCTGGCCGCGTCCAGCCGTTCGCCGCGCTTCTCCTGGCGCCGCTTCAGCAGGTTCCGCAGCCGCGGCTTCGCCTGGCGACGGCGGAAGCGACGGCGGAAGCCATGGGGGGCCAATGGATGCCGTGGGACCTGGAAAAAAACCTGGAAAAACTCAGAAAAATCCGGGAGATGTTGGGAAAAAACACGAAAAACACGTGTTTTTGTGTTTTTTTTGAGATTTTGAGGACAGTATATATATATATATACATGTGTGTGTGTGTTTGAGAAGTAAAACCTTGTGTCTCCAAGTATTTAAGGAACAAAAAAAAAATGCCAAAAGGCATCGGCCATCTTAAATGGAACATGCCTCAGTCGCAAGCTGTCTTGGAAGTTCCAAGGACCCGTTGTGAGTCACAAGTTGTGAGTCACCCATCACATCACTTTAACACCTGCTAGCTTCCGTAATATGGAAGAGATCATAGCCACATGGCTATGGATCAATACCTACTAATACCATTTTTAGGGGGATGAACATCCATAAATCCCAGCTATTTTGATGTGAACTACAGGGGTACACGGTTTTGACACACTGCCACATCTGAAATGGGCGATGTAATATTGTGTAACATAGTTTCCTAAGTTTCCAACTGGTTTTATGGGAAACACCTGAGGAAAATGGTGAAAAACAGTTTGCATGTCAGCCAGCTAAACCCCAAAGCCTTGGGCGAAGCCTTTCCTCTGGGTGTCCTGTGAGCTCCCGATCAGCAGAATATCACGGAAGCCAATATTCCACCTTTCCCGATGAATTTTCATATAGAAAAGATTGAGTTTTTGGCAAAAATTCAACAACAAACATTTCAATGCAACCAAACTTGCCACAATTCATCTGATTTTCTTAGTTACAAGATTACAACCCCCGATAGAAACATAGATAGCTCGGGAACCTATTTTGAAATGGGATGAACCACATATCTGGGTTACTCTGTGGTTATCAAACGTGGCAATGAGAAATCCCTGCACTGAAAGACTGAATGGATATATTACCCTCTGGTTATTTGTTACATAGCCATGGAAGCCATGGCCCATAGAAATAGATGGTTTACCTCTTGCTAGCATGAGTGGATTTTCCATGGCAAACTGTTCGTCATAACCAGAGGGTAATGTGAAAATCTTCATGTTAAATGGGTGATTTTCCATTACTACACTTGACCGGATGGGATGCACTATTTTCATCTATTTTCACCAGGTCACCAGGCTGCCAGACAGTCATCATGACTTCACCATTGATATCCTATGAAAAATCACCCAAGATTTGGATGATATCTTGGGTTTCTCCAAGGAAACCCACCATTTCCATCCATTTCCTATTCTTACTTCTATGATTCTATACGTATTCGAATTCAGATCCCAAGGAGAGAAAATTAGAGAGAAACGTTAACCATCTTCCATCATCTTCCATCATCTTCCATCATCTTCCATTCCCAAAAAAATCCACCAAGAAATCCCTATCCATCAGCTCCTTGGATCTTCATGTCGCCTCGCTGGCATCGATCCCCGTGGAGATGAGCGCGGCGACAGCTTGCCACGCTCGCTGGCCGGCCCCGCGGGCCCCGCGGGCCCCGCGAGGCCGAGGCTCGCCACGCCGTCGTCGGTGTCGGTGATGCGAACGCCGGGAAGGAGGCCTGGACCACAGCTGAGCAAAGGCGGCAGTTACTGGAAAACTATGGAAAACTATGGAAAAAGATGGGAAAAGATGAAGATTTCTTTTAGGAAAAACGGGGGAAGAATAGATTCTGTCCATGCTGTAATTTCCCAAAAAAAAATGTGGCTGGGAGGGGTGAAATGGTTGAAACACCACCAGGTCAGGGTTGACTTTAGGGCCAGGTCTTTTCATCCCCCAGAATTTATCATGGGCGTGGATCAAACCAGCAGCAAAATCTCGAATATTGATAGCATATCTTAGATACTTTGAAGTATGAAATCATCCAATTTTCGAGGGTCAGTACTCTGTAGCCATATCGAAATGTATTCAAACTAAAAAAAAACTATCTCAAAGTGTTTCTGCCTATTCATTTTTGGGTGAAATTCAGAAGAAATCTGCTGTTCGTTTCGTCCTTTCTGTGCAACTACCCTTTTGGAAAGCTTCGAAGCCTGCAGTTTCGAGATCAAAAATGGGTATAGTGCTATACCCCAAATCATCCCAAAACTCTATGTTTTCCGATTTCTACTGATCACATTCAAACTATGTTCATAGACGTTGGATAGATTCGCATCCATAAAATCTTCGATCTGTTGAAACTCTCCATCTGCAACATCGCACCATACCACCCCGAAATCGCACCTTCTTCGTTGACAGGACCACCGGTGGGTGAACCGGAAGGCTTCTCACCTCATTGGCATCAGGGCTGCACTTCGTAGGGGCCGACGTTGAAACTAGGCCAAAACTGTCCAAATGTTGGGGGAAACTTCAGAAATAAATGGTTGGGATATCCTTTTGGGGGGGATCACCTCATTTGAAAAGGTCTGGTCAATTCTGGCAGAGTACCGATTTCATCGAAGGAAAGCAAATTCTTGAAGTCGATGTAAACAGCATCCCATCAAATTGGTTTTGGGTCGCCAGCAAAATTTTTAAGGCGGCCTCAACACCCAGAGCAGCGACTGATCAACCCAGTAGCATCTTTGGGAACTCAAAGGATCAACAATCCCAATTTGCTGGCTGCTATTCCCAACCAAAGTTGTATCTGTCCATCCATCCATCTATCTACAGCACCTATCTATTGAAATAATCTTGGGGAATAGGATCATAATGATTTTTTTTATAGTTATCATCATATCTACAATATGGATATATATGGATGTAGATATAATTCATATAATGATTCATATATCACATAACACTTAGTGATTCCAACATAATATGGATATTATATATGAAACATTAAGTCCCCAACATCATATCTACATCATATCTACATCCACTTAGTGAATCTCCGAAAAGTCCCGAAACCAGACTTGGCATCGCACCGAAGGTCTCATCCACTTCCAGCCGTGGCGAAGCTTCGGATCCAGAGCCTTGGGTCCTCCGAAACATGGCCATGGGAAAACCATGGGAAAACCTAATAGTTATATAAGTTATATAGTCTTATATAGTGATATATATATATAGTGATATATATATATAGTGATATATAAGATATAGTTAGATAGATAGTCATATAGAGTGACCATGGTCTTATATAGTGATATAAGATATAGTTCTATAGTTGTATAGTTGTACAGTTAGATAGTTGGGGGTCTCTACTGGAAGGTAAAGCAACTTAAATGACACGCAATAGTCACCATATCCATTATAGTCAATAGTCACTATGGTCACTACATGACTATGAAAGGGATGGAACTCCGGAACTCCATGATTGTTTCCCGTGCGGAAACGATTTATCTACAAATGATGGATTTTCCATGTTTATAAATGGTGGCTTTACTATGACATGTACATGAGATGAAGAGAGACACAGCTATTCCAGAAGGTGGTGTTTGCAGTCATTTCAAGTTGGTTTATATCATTTTATATCCCGATGAAATACCAAAACGTCACAGCCCCTTTTTCTTTCATCATTGGCTTTTGCCCCAGTGTTGTTGGTAGGTACCTCTATTCATGGTTTGAATCCCGATGAACCTATGATTTTGTTTTGACAAAAACTTCCGAGTGTATCGTACCTCAGGGATTAGATACCTACTATCACTACTTAGTCACATAAACTAAGTGGGTAAACCCAACTACCCCAATTTATACCCAATTCACACAATTGGTCATCATTGGGGGAATACACAAAAACACACCTCCAAAATGAATGGCTTTAATATAAGGTGGCATGATCCGCTCCAACAAGTTGGGGTACAACCGTGATCCCTCCATCATGAAGTACCAAAAAACAAATGCGAGGTGTCGTGCTTGTTGTCATCCTCCCATAGGTAAATATTCATCCTCATGGTGTTATAGTTTCATGGTCTTTTACAATCAATCAGTGAATGTTCATATGTATAGATATAAAATTCATATCTATAATATAGCAGTAGACTCTCTGAATGCTAACTAAGCTAAGCTAACTCCCATAGTTTTATTAATTCATTTACTACAATATCACAAAAGACCTGTAATATAATGGTGACATTATCAAACACCCATAGTGATCCTGACTCTCCAAATGTGAGTGCTAAGATGAGCTAAGCTAACACCCATTCGATTTACCATACATATGGAACTGACTAGCTATAGCGGTAGTGTTTTACCATGCTTCCACTCACCAGTTGCTTGATTTTAACTCCTCATAATAATAAACCACTCATTTCGGAATGGTTACCATACCACCAAGCAAAAATGGTGATGACTGGGGGATGGTTTATGAAATTCTTTTACCCATAGTCTTATTCATCCTCCTAGTTTCGTTTCATGTTATAGTTCATTAATTGCCATAGTTCCTATCAGTATCGTTAATGACCATAACAATAAACTGTTTCTGTTTATGTGTTTACTCATTACCATAGGTAAATACATACTATCCATAACAATTGATCTACAGTATGGTTGTTAACCATAGTTCCCATTGTTTACAATAATTGTATGTGTTTCATAGGAAATTACCATGTTATAGTTTAATTACCATGTTGCCATTAATAACTATTAATGACTATAGGTTGCTATTACTACTTTACTTCTTAATTACCAGATTATGTTTACCATAATATATGTTACTTATGTTAAATACCATGTTCGTTATTTTGTTAAATACCATTTGTTATATGTTACTATTTCTATTGTAAAACTAACCATAGTAGTTTAACTATTAAAAGGTAATTACTCATAGAAAAATTACCTATACTTACCATTAACATAGGTTACCATCTAATATTTACCTATAATTACCATTACCATTAATAGGTAATTACCTATAATTACCATAATAATTACCATTAACATAGGTTACCTATAATTACTCATAGAAAATTTACCTATAGTATGTGTTACCCTCTGGTAATTTAACATAGCTATTGAAAATGGCCATAGAAATAGTGGATTTTCCCATTAAAAATTGTGATTTTCCATAGTTTTTTGTAAACGTTTACCAGAGTGTATGATTTAATACCATGGTAGTTATTAATAGGTAATTACTCATAGAAAATTTACCTATAGTCTAACCATAGAAAACCATCGAAAAATTGCTAATTACTATTAATAGTAGTCTAACCATAGAAACTACTATGAATTACTATTAATTATTAGTATATGGGTATGGATCAATACCTATTAATACCATTTATAGGGTGATGAACATCCATAAATCCCAGCTATGACTTGGGGTTCACCAGGGGTACAAGGTTTTGACCCATCCCCATATGTTACTATTAATTACCACAGGTAAAACGACCCCCGCCTCTGGCGCCAGAGCTGCGCCCGACAGCGCGCGCGGTGCCGACTCTGCCGGTCCCAGAGGAGCCGGTGCGCCGCCAAGGCATCGCGCTGCCAACGCTGGAGGGCCTGGCGAACTGGGGCCGTTTTTGGGAGGAAAGCATGGATAAATCATGGAGAAAACATGGATAAATGATAGGTAAATGATGGATAAATCTTGGATAAATGATTGAGAAAACATGGTAAAATTGTAATCTATACTCTATTGTAACTGGGGTTTCCCATGATTTCCCCATTTTCAGACAAAACCCCTTAAATGGTGGGGATGGAGATTCTTTCGGGATTGTTTGGGGGTGTGTAAATTTTGAAATTTAAAAAGTACTACATTTACTACCTTTGCTGCTCTTGTTGTTTTGTTTCTGTTATTTATTTACGATTAATGGGGATTACTGCATGGTTGTTGACATGAAATTTCATTGGTGATTGCTCTCCTTACTGGCATTGTTTGGGATTGTTATACTTGCTATGATTCAGTTGATGAGTTTTTGCCTAACCAGTCAAAATGGTTGTTCCTTAGTCATATACAAACTGTTTGGCTCATAAGAACTGCCAAGATCTTTGTAAAGTCTCCCACACGAATCAGTTCCTCGGCTTAACACCTGGCCTTCTGCACTTGAAAACTCGAACGACAGATCCTTGGGCCACGCCCAGGTACGCTGGGCCAATGGGGTAGCAGCAACTGGTAACCCATTGAGTAATCCACCGGTTCATCCATTGAGTCATCCATTAATCAACTATTCCCCAAAAATTGGCCGGAGGATCGTCAAACATACTGGTGGCTGAATAGGAATGTGAACTCTCCATTGGTGAATAAGCCACGAAGTCAGAATAGGATGCTCAATAAACAAGCATCACTGCTTGAAACCAACCATTAAATCATATTAAATCCATTAATCACCATCGTCCGCCTAATCCGAGTCGCCTCCCCATGAGTCCTTCGCGAACCAACTGTATTGCACCCAAGACAGGTTTCATCCCCATCTTTGCAGAACTGAACCCCTTCGGTTCACATTGCCGAACCTCCAACCAGGCTCTCCGGTGGTATTAATCTCCCAGGAAAAACCATTGTTGAGAAAATGCACATCGTCTCCAAAGCCATGGTGCATGAAACCATCAAAATGAAGGTGTTTGAAAATAGGCGCCTACCCTGAAATCCAATGTTCATCGTCATTTTCTCCTATTTTCTCCTATTTTCTCCTATTTTCTCCATCAGAATTGCTAATTTCTGGGTCGAGATCTATGGGTGGACATGAAAATCCCTCCAAATCCCAGGTGCTGATCGATCATTGGCAAATCCAGACCATTGGAGCCATTCCTGAGCGCATCACGCCCCACTTTACTGAAAAATCGCTAAAAATGTCAGGGCTGTATCATTCAAAAATATTCAAAATGTCTTATGATCTGTATTGAAATCGTTGTTTTTTACGTCTCTGTCTCTGGCGAATTGCCCCATTTTTTTTCGAACGCGATCGCCTGGAGGGGGCCAGTAGAATCGTCCCAGGATGTGGCACGCCGCTCTTTGCGCCATCAGCCGGAGCTCGAGGCCTGAGATGTTCGGACAACGGAGTGGAGCCTTGGAGGTTGTTCCACGAACAAAAATCCTGGAATTTGTGGTGGATATGGGGATGGGTCAAAACCCTGGTACCCCCAGTGAACCCCAAAATAGCTGGGTTAAAATGGATGTTCATCCCACTAAAAATGGTATTAATAGGTATTGACCCATACCCATATGTGGCCAGAAATTTAGGAATGGTCTGTATGTGAGCAGAAGTGATTTCCAGTTGCTGACTTCGTTTTGATCACGGATGGCATTTTTCAACAACGCACTTGGTTTCTATCTGCTCTAAGTCAAATTTTGAAATCCCTTGTTTTTCAGGCAGGCAAAGCTTTTCCACCCCCACACTGCTGAAATATGTGCAATGTTGCTCATATGTAGATATATGTAATTAACCATATGTCTGTCTGTCTGTCTGTCTGTCTGTCTGTCTGTCTGTCTATCTGTCTATCGGTCTATCGGTCTATCTGTCTATCTGACTATCTGTCTATCTGACTATCTGTCTATCTATCTATCTATCTATCTATATATATATATGCAAACCTGCAGTCTCTCCTTGGTTTTATCTCTGCAAGCCTTAGGTGAGGTGTTCGGATGCATTCGCAGGGCTTAAATGATGCTGCTCCAAGCTGCTAAGTCTCACCGCAAAAAGAGGGAGATTTCCAAGAGCAGCACAGCATGCCAAGCCACTTCAGGGCGGGTGGCTAGTGGGCCCAAAAACTTCAAGACATTTGGATTGCATGTCAAGTCATGCAAACCTGCAGTCTCTCCTTGGTTTTATCTCTGCAAGCCTTAGGTGAGGTGTTCGGATGCATTCGCAGGGCTTAAATGATGCTGCTCCAAGCTGCTAAGTCTCACCGCAAAAAGAGGGAGATTTCCAAGAGCAGCACAGCATGCCAAGCCACTTCCAAAAATCTCAAAGGCCGTCACCCAGGGTACGTGCTATACAGGGTGGACAGAAGCTGTCAGGTGACTGCAGAGGTGGACAAGACAGTGCTCTAGGTGTTAATTAAGCTAGCTAGCTAACTAAGGCTATGGGGAAAAAACTTGCAGCGTGGCGGATTTTCCGCTTTGAGTCTTCTGGGAGCCTGACCAAAAGTGAATCTGCAGCAGTCTCTTGCAGATATGATTCTAAGGTATGAATGGAGGTCAACCGCATCGCCCACAAAATGTCCTGGATGGGCCGATTGCGCTTGTAAGCCAAAATGGCGCCTCCACCTCTAATCCCTGCTGGGGTCGGTCTGCAGTTGACCGGAATTTTCAAAACTTCTAAAATTCGATCCCAACGGCTTCGAAAAGCTGCTGCTGATCGAGGGAACAGTCTCACTCCAGCATCGAGTTGCCCAAAATGGCGCTCTAAAAACTTCACAGCTGGCTCAGTTGAAACTCGGACATGCTGAATCCTACCTATTCCCCGTTTTCTGCTCTTTGGCTTTCGTATTTTCAGGAAAGCTACGCAAACTGCATCATCAAAAGAGTCACTGGGCAGCACCAAATCTCCCCGTGTAGCTGAGAGGATTTCACTGATCCTGGCAATACCCTCGTACCCAAGGAGCAAGGAGGCAGCCCACCTAGTCCACTTCCACAACATGGCAATCGCAAACATGGCTTTGAACAGGCTTTCGGGCAGAGGCTGTCTATGTTTAAGAGGCTGTGCTACCTCCCATTTTGAAACCAGCTGCCAGCATGGGGCAATTTCGGCTCGTACCTTTGGAAACTCTTGCTGAACCAGGACGAGCAAGTGTCTAAGCTCGTAAAGTCTGCCTCCAGTGCTATAAAGGTGCAAGCCGTACCTCTTAAGGAACATCACCGCAACCTCAGGACAAAGGAAGAGTTGTTCTCTGGTCTCGAAGCTCAAATGCTGACTCAGCCAAGCTTGAAAACGCCACCAGATGCGATTCTGCAGTTTGTAAGTCTGGTCTTCCACCAGACGAGTGTTGAGTAACTCTCTAGCATCACGTCGGCCAGGTTGATGCCGGCCAGGTCCAGGATTGGCCGCTTCTCCAATGCGGCCTTCGCCGCAATGTGCACATGCTCCAATCTTCAGCTTCAAGGAGGTGCTTTGCTTCGGGAGCAAACCTACTTGATGCGCTAGGGCTGTCGCTAGGTCATAGCACAGGTCACGAGGATAAGTCTGGGCAACATGCGTCCAGGAACTTCTCAAAGCAGCACATCTGCCACGCAGATGCTGATGGGAGTGTCCACCTTTGCAGAGCTCCCGTACTCCTTGAAGCGCTGTGCTGGTAGCTATGCGCGTCCTCTTTCGCCACCTTGTACGGTAGCGACACTGATCGAACCGGAAACTTTTCGACCAGTGACCAAAACCAGCTTCAATGAAGCCTCGAAGCAGCCATAAAAAAGAGCCATCCGGGTTTTCACACCACCAAGCAAGGCCAAGTGATTCAGCTAACTTAAGGACTTCTAAAATGAAACTGGCATGAGAGTTGCCCACGGCTACCTTCAGCTGCATGTTCTTCGACATCTGCTCAATGCCCTCAGGTCTCAGTGCCGTTCTGACTGCTGGTGTGACAGCGCGTGAAAAGGACGCACATTCGGGAGCAGCTCCCAGACCGACAAAACAGCCGGCTCGCATCATGGCTACGATCTTCTGTCTCAGTTCTGGGTTTAAAAGGTTCTGCTCCTCACCTCTTTCAAAATCAAAGGTGAGCACCCAAACACCAAAACGTTTACTCAAACTTTTGGCCACCCCCGCCTTGCCACTGAAAAGGTCCAAAAAGCCTTTTCGTCGGAACTCGCAGTGCTGTTTGGCCCGGCGTCCTCCGGGTAGAAAAAATTGAGAAGGCATGAACTCTTGTAAAAGGGCTCGGGCTTCATCACTAAGCTCCGGCAGGTCGGAGTTCTCCCCAATCTCGAACTTTTTCCCGCTGCAGTCAGACTGCGGCAAACTAGTTACTTTTTCTTTCAGAGGAGGAGCTACCTCTTTTGAAGCAACAAAATGACTGGTGGCCCGCACTTCCGTGCTTTCAGTTTTTGTAGGGCTCTTCTTTTCACTCTTGGTTTGGTCCTCAGACTCTTTTTCAGCTCTCTTGTTGTTCTCTTTTAAGTTTCCTGAGCTACAAGACTCTACACCTACTGCTACGGTGCTACCGCTGCTCTGTACATTGTCAAAGGTTCTCAACCTTTCGGGCTTTGCTACGGCACGCAAAGGTTTAATTATTTCGTCATTGACCACTTCAGCATCTGTACAAAAAGCGTTGGCAAAAGGTAAGCCAGCGAGTTGTTGGGGGTCGTAACCCAGCTGGTTCAACCAATCATCAAAAAGCTCAAAATTCCCTCCTAACGCTTCAACTAGCCAGTCTGGAGCATTTTTCTCCGGAGCTCTCAACGGTCTCTCTCTGGTTGGATCGTCAACACAATTGGCCAGCGATGGGACATACCCATAACTTCCGTAGAGATCATGCCCTAGGTAAACAGCTAAGCTTCCTTCCAGCAGATCATTGATGCGGTCTGAACTGGACCGCCCCTTTGTCAGAGCTGCCAAAGCTACCTGCGAATCAGCTCCCAGCAAGTATCGCAAAGAAGAAAATCTGTCAGCCAGCTTTCGCTCCACATCTAAAACAGCTTCGATCTCCAGCAAGTTGATGTGGCGGCGTCCACGCACTTGCTTCCGTTGCCACAAAGTGAATGCTAAAAACTGGGCCAGCTTTGTCCATAAAGGGTGCGACACCAGGGGCACTCCATCAGGCAACTCATCCTCGGCGAGGAGTTTACCATGCTCTCGCATCCAGCTGTGCCAAGGCGAGAGAAGACGGCTCCATGTTCCTCTGGCTAGGCAGTGCCGATGTAGCTCCCTTGCAAATGCACTGGAGACCTGGCACTTGACAGAGGCGGTAACGCAGCGTCAGAAAGGAAAATCTCATCATGTGATCTGGCTCGCAAGTTGGTTGCTGCCAGTGGTGCTAGAAAACAAAGGACCCACAACTCATCAATGACTGGGGAGGCAAGGGCTATCACATCAGACCTCTCCCGCCCTTGCTGTGCTTTGTACAGCTCTCGCAACAAACACATCATCCTGCGGCGGAACTGCAAAATGGAAATCCAACAGCCACAAAGCACCTCCAGCAGGGCTACAGAAGCATAGCCTAATTTCGCCACTCGCATGGTCAGCTGCAGCAAGGGAACCAATCGTCTCGCTGCTGGACGACACATTCCTGACTTTCCATTCAACTCAGCTCCCCAAATCGTCGCAGCACTCTCCCCTTTAAAGGTCTTTTTGGGATGAGGTAGGAGTCCTCTTTGGATGTACTCCTCACATAAGGCGTCCAATCGCCTCACTCCCTCCGTGGTGTGGCCAGGCGCCTCACCTGCAGCAACTTTGTCGCAGAAGAGGACGTCATCAATGACCACGCCGCAAGCCATGTCGCCCCTGGGAGCTCTACCATGAATGGTGAGAAGTTCATGAGGAAGAAACAACTTGCTCTGCAGACCTAAACGCATGTGGGCTTTCTGTCCTATTTCTACTGCATTGTTGTCACCCATGGCCATAGTTGATAGACATGGGTAGAGAACCTCAGCGGAGTGCATATGCTCCTGAAAGGCTTGCAAGTGTTGAACCTGGGACGGCAGCAGGGGCAAACGTAAAGCATTCCGTAGAGATCTCTTCCTTCCGACTCGAAAGCAATAGTAATAATCTTTGAGATCTGTACCAGAAAACCGAAGCTCTTCTTCAGGGGATAGTTCAATCTGCAGCAAAGCTTGTACAGCTCCTAAAGTTTGAACCCAGTCATTCAAGGTGTGCTCCAAATCATTTGGGGGGCGCGCATCAAGAATGAGGCGATCCAACTCAGCATCTTTAGTCAAAGCAAACGCTCCACAAAGGTGTGAGGCTCGTACTTCATTTTTTCCAGCCAGACGCAAACGGTGATGCCGATCCAGCTTCTCTACAAAAGCCACAGCTTCTTGCCGACTTGCATGAACCCTGACTCGTGGAGGTTGATTTGCCTCAGCAACTGGCTTTGCTAGACTCACCGGGTCAACATAAACAGTGTGATGAGGCTCGAGCAATAGAGGTCGAGGGTCAAACTCAGGTGGGCTGCTGGGTAAGGCTATCCTTGAAGCCTGCAACTCTTTGGCCTGCACAGGCATCGCTGTGCTCATACTGCCAACAACTTCGCCAAGGTCGCCTTCTCGACGTCCTAGACGCATGGGTTCTTTTCGTGGGAGCTCATCTAACCGCATCTTCGTGCGATAGTCTCCCGCATGCAACCTAGAGGCTTGGTCTTGCAAAGAAAACAACAAAATGTCCAAGCTCTCCAACTTGGCGGCCGTCCTGCCCATTTCGGCAGGACCTATGTCACCATCAAAGCTAACCTCCCGGAAAAACTTCTCCAAATTGCCCACCACCTTCTGCTGCTTTGCAGTGAGCGCCCGGCCGACTCTCATCTCGGGCGGTGCAACACGAGGTCTGCGCAAATGCAGCCAGGACAAAGTGATCACTGCTAAGTTCAAGGCCTTTTGCCGAGCAACAATGGGGTAGGGCAGCTTCACGGCACCATTCTCGGCAGGAAGAAGCCAGCGCGGAAAAGGGGGAGGCATAGGCCACACACTGAGAGCTGTGCGTTCATCATCTGAACGCTGGGGCTTTGGCAGAGATCTGAAGAAAAAAGCAAAAACTGAATTCGTAGCCAGCATCCATCGAGTCATAGAAGTCCACAACCGCAGGATGTTGCCACTGGGCGCCAGAGAGCCTGGCACGTCACAAGTCGCACTGTCCAAGGGAGATTCACTCAGCAAACCATGCTGGCGACTGTTATGATCTCCCGCTTGCACATTCTCTAATTTTCTGGCTGGGTTGCAGGAGGCTTCTCCTTGTCCTCCCCTTTTCCATCGCCTTTCCCCTTTGGGCGCTTCTTTGGCCCTGCTTTTGGAGCTGGAGCTGCAGCAGGCGGATCTGACTTCCGCGAGGGCTGGAGTTTGTTCCGCTTCTCGTGGTAATCTGCGAGATCTCGCAGTTTGCTCAAGATCAGGTCCACCCACCGCCCATCGATCAGCCTCGAATGCTGGGTTTCCCACATCTCCGGAGCACTGTGCCGGTTGAAGGAGGCAAAAGGTGGCGGCTCCTCCAGCACAACCTCGGAGGCGACCAGGAATGACCCTTTGTCGCAAGCATGTCGGTCTACCATTGCTACTCCTAGAGCTGCTCGAGCTCGAGCTTCTTCGTAGCGACCCAGGCGCATGCAATCCCAGATTCCGGCCAGTATCCAGCCGAAGCGCACCGAAGTTTGATAACCTTGAACTCGGCTTCGGTGCTCCAGCCAACCGCGAGCGGAGATCTGAGCGGCTGAAATGCCTGGCAGGGATTCGGCTGCATCCCAGTCTTCCTGAAGTCTTCGCTCCAGGCTCTGGTAAATGGCTGTGGGATTGGATACCAGCATCTTCTGCAACTGTCTCAAGGCCGCAGCTTTTGACTTCCCCCCAGAACCGGGCTCTTTTCCCAATCCAGCATCGTAGGTGTCGAGCAGGTTGTCCAAAGACTTGCTCTTCTTGTCCTTTTTCTGCTTCTGCATGTCTGTCACCAACTTTGTCAGTTGGACCAAAGCGGTCCCCACAGGGTCGGCAGACCCAGCAGCGTCTAAGGCTCCTCCCGCCTCCTCTTCTTCGTCGGAGGACTCGAGGACAGCAGCCTGGAGCCGCGGTCGAGCCGCTGGAGCAGGTTGCAAGGCCAAAAATCTGCCCATTTCTGCCACCGCTTCCGGAGTCACACCAGCTCGTAAGGCCTGTTGAACTGCATGAGGATCTAGTCCAGGGGGAGCGGTGACCGCTTCTTCGGCGGTCTTTGCAGGTCGAGCAGCTGGCTTGGCTTTTACGCCAAGAGTGGGCTTCGTGGCTTTGTCGTCCACAAGTTTTCCTAACTTGTTCATAATCTCTTGCACGGACTTCTCCAAGCTGGCAAGGCGTTCTTCTGCAGCATCGCCTCCCCCTCGAGGATGGCCCATACCTCCACTTTCGGCACTCAAAAAAGTGAAGTGATCTCTGGCGATTGCCACCAAAGATCGGGCGAAGGGGATCTTGGGACGTCCAGCAGCGCCCACCGGGAAGTTGTGTGCAGGCTCGCCATCGTCGCCGTACACAGCAAGGTCTTCGAGCTCTGTGCTGAGCAGTCCAAGCCATAGGCGAAGATCTGGTTCTCCAAGGGGCTGCGCTCGATCTGATTCCGAGCATGACTGAACCTCGACCCTGACTGGCTTTTGCAGTGCAGTAGAGGGAATGGCACGTTCCCTTTTCAGTCGATTCCATGCTGAGTCAGGCAGTGCTACCAAAGTTACCAAAACTCTATTGTCAACCAAGGTGACGGAGACCACAGCAACTGAGACTGGGGGTTCCAAAAAATACAAAATCCCCACGTTGAAATCTTCCACTAATTGATCACCAGAGAGCACAAAATTGTCTCGGAGAGAAGCGGCCTCTGGCTCGTCCACTTCCTCCTCTTCGCTGGCTGCTGGCAACGAGGCCATCACTGCCGCTCAATGGCGGCTGGAAATTGCAGCTGCGCTGAGCGAAGGGTGATCCGGACCTCAGCTTGGCTGGGCAATCCCACAAAAATGCTGTCACCGCACTGGCCACGAGCTTGGCAATGGGGCTTTGCTTCGCTCCACGCACGGAAGAGCAAAGGAGGATTGTGAACTTTGCCTGACAGGTCTCGGATGATCAGGTAGTACTGGTTCCCCTGGGGGATCTTCTCTCTGCCGGACAAGCCGCGATGTTCACCGCGAAGTCCCCGGCGAATCCACTGCCCAATCTCCTCTGCAGCCTTGACCCTGAAATCGGGAAGACCACTGTCACTGCCAGCCGTAGAAGATCGCGGAGGACCAGAGTTGGAAGTCCCAGCCGCTTCACTGATCACTTCAAAATCCCTATCCTCTTCCAGTGCCAGAACTCTAGCTTTTAGGAGTCTGACCTCCTTCTTACACTCAGCCAACTCTACTTGCAATTGCTCTACCAGAGAAACCAAAACGGCAGTAGAAGTATTGGAGGAACTCATACAAGCCTATATTTCCCCTGAGCCCGCCTGGCTAAAGATTCCAAGCGCTCACGCACCCACAGCCGCCAGGTCTGCCGCACTATGTAGCAGAAATCCAGAAAGGGCCCCACGCTCAAACCAATGCAAATGCCAAGGAGCAAGGAAATGAGGTCCAGTCGAAAAGTGAAGTTCAGCCAAGGTACCTCAGGGCACAGAGGGCAGTCAATAGGAAAAGGTAGATTTGGAGGTGCGCCAGTTAGGTCAGCAAGGAGGCGAAGGGCTATGGCGGGAAAAGTCCCACCGGTCGCACCAATCGTCAGGCTTCTGTCCATCTAACGCTTGAACCCCAAAAACTTCAAGACATTTGGATTGCATGTCAAGTCATATATCTATATATCTATCAATAATATTATGTATATTATATTTATTATATTTTTTACATTATACTACATTATTTTTTACTATATCATATTATATCATATTATATTATATATTATATTATATTATATATTATATTATATTGTAATACTATATTATATATTATATTATATATTATATTATATATTATATTATATATTATATTATATATTATATTATATTATATATTATATTATATATTATATATTATATTATATATTATATTATATATTATATTATATATTATATTATATTATATTATATTTTATAATATATTATATTATATATTATATTATATATTATATTATATATTATATTATATATTATATATTATATATTATATATTA